AATATGATTAATATGATTAATATGCTTAATATGATTATTATGCTTATTATTATTATTATTATTATTATTATTATTAACCTGCGGGTACAAATAAAGTAAGTTAGGATGTTTTTATATTTTTATTAAAGATAGTTTTGGTCAACAGTGCTATTAGCATTGATGCTAATGTGGCTACATTTCATGTATTTGCTTTAAATTCAGTCCTGTGACCAAAAATACTAAATCTTTAATTTCTACAAGTGTTAAAATGAATAAAACGTCCTGAGACAAACAGTTGGTGAACAATAAACATGTTAGACAGAATAATAAAGGGATTTTATTGTGAAAGGTTACCGTCTGCGATGATCAGGCCTTTAGCGGAAGTCCTCTGTTTGGACATGACGACAGACAGGTAGACCGGTGTGCAGACAGACAGGTGGTTCTGTCAGAAACAGCTCTCAGTCGTCAGTTATCGATCATTATCGATCATTATTGATCACCGCAGGACGACATCGGACCCGGAAACACACCCGACACTTCCGAACTCACGTGACCGAGCTTCCAACTTCTCATTGGCTGGGACCGTCACATGACGCAGGAGGAAAATGCGGTACAAAGATCGGTTTCCTGCGCGGTCCCGGTAAAAACACACGTCACACGTGTCCCGTGTCGGTCCGGAGCTGATCCGGACTGTAGACCTGCAGAGACCCGGAGGACAGTCCGCTCCGGTGAGTCACTGTTTGTACATCAGCCCGGTCCGCCAAGGCTCGGCTCAGTTCGGCCCGGCTCGGCCCGCTTCGTCCTGGCAGTGACGTGAGGCGGTTCGGCGGGGTGGGGGCAGAGGGAGCCGGATGTTAAACCGGGTCGTTCGGTTCTGTTTATATTCAGTCCGGAGTGAAAACATCTCAAATCACAACGAACTCCATTTAAAAATCTTCTAATTTAACATCGTCTCGCCTGCCTGCAAATACTAACACTGTCGGATGTGACTGAGGCCAGATCCGGATTAGTGAAGTCCCCTTTAGAGTATTTCATGTTGGGTTTGTGCCGAATTGAAGAGTAGGCCGTAAGATCTCTGAAACATGTAATAATATATTAATAATATCAAAAATAATATAAATCATATTAATATTAACAATATTAATATCAGTTTCCTATGTTGTTACTTTAAGGATATAGGCGGAGTTATTAAACTGTATTGTTTTTAAACGTACTTCTGTGTTGTGCTGTCAGTGTCTCCTGTTGAGTCTGTTCTGATGTGTCTGCAGAGCTGGACCATGTCCAAGGAGAATCCACATAAGGGGGAGCCTCCCCAGTCTGCCCCATCCACCCAGTCCACCCAGTCCCCA